CGGCACGGGCGGCGGGCCGGCGCTCACCGATGGAGTGCAGGATGCCGATGGAGGCCTCGCGGTCGGTGGAGAGCAGGGACTGCGCGCGCTCCAGCTCCAGCACCGCCGCCGCCGCCATCTTGCCGCCCCTCCGCCTCGCCGCCAGCACGGAAGCGGCGCCGCGGCCACGCCCCTTCCGCGCGCGCGGCATGGTGGGAACTGCAGTCCCGGCGCGCGGGGGCGGAAGGGGCGGGGACTGCGGAGGAGGCGGGGACTGCGGAGGGGCCGGGACTGGGGCTGCTGAATGACGCCTGCGCCGAGCGCAGGGGGCGTGGATTCCGTTGGGGCGCGGGAAGGGGCGTGGCCTTATGCGCCGCTTCGGCGGTTGGGTGGGCGTGGCCTGCGATAAGGGCGTGGCCTGGAAGGGGCGAGGGCGGGAGAGCGGGGAAGAGACTATTACGTAAGGGGGCGGGGCTTGGGGCGGGGTCCGCTCCCCTCACATCGCGAGGCTGGGGCGTGGTCTGGGGTGGGGACGTGACTTTGGCCAGGGGGCGTGGCTGGCAAAGAGCGCGAGGGCCATGGAGGGGGCGTGGTCCCAGGAAGAGGCGGGGCCTTTAAATAGGCGGGAAGCCGCTAGAGACGTGGGAGTGGTCTATGTGAAGAGATGATGTCATTTGTGGGCGTGGTCGTTGAATGGGCGTGGCCAGGGCCGTGTTCGGGGGCTCGCGGTGTGTCTTGGGGGGCCCGGGGGGTCGCGTACCCGGGAAGGAGCGGGGGACAGCGGGCCCAGGGGCCCCGAGCGGGACCTGCGCGGGGTCCTGGGCACCGGGAAAGCCGCTGGGGCTGCCAGGGGTGGGGGGTCCCGCCCGGAACATCCCCAGCCGTGGGTCCGCTGCTGGAGGGGCATCGGTGGCCACGTCCTGCTGGGGGTCCCCAGGGTCCTCATCCCCACGGAGCCCTGAGCGCCCCGGACAGCCTCGGGAAGGGAGGAGAGCCCAGCAGGGCCATGGCACCTGTGAGGGAGTGTGTCCCCGTGTGCCCGGGAACGATCCTGTCCCTGTGTCCCCGAGCAGGATCCTGTCCCTGTGTCCGGGAACGATCCTGTCCCTGTGTCCCAAGCAGGATCCTGTCCCTGTGTCCCCGAGCAGGATCCTGTCCCTGTGTCCCAAGCAGGATCCTGTCCCTGTGCCCCCGAGCAGGATCCTGTCCCTGTGTCCCAAGCAGGATCCTGTCCCTGTGTCCCAAGCAGGATCCTGTCCCCGGCCCCACAAGGGGGACCTGTCTCCCTCCCACTGCCCGATCCCCCCTCCCGGGCCGCACTGGCTGGGACAGACCCTTCCCGTTGTGTTCCCAATGCTGAGCCCTCCCCTGCAGGGGCACAGGGTGGGGGCAAACCCGGCCTTGCACCCTCCTCTGGTCAGAAAACTGCCCCCAAATCACACTGAGCCCCCTAACCCCCCCAGGGCCGAGCCCGTCCTGCTGTGTCCCCAGCACACCAGGACTGGCAGCCCTCAGAGCAGCCACTTTCTGCCACTGGAAAGGCCAGTTTCATCCCTGAAAAGGTCAGTTTTCTATTAAATGGGGAATAAAACCAAAACCCTGCCCCTGGGGAATCGTGTCATTGTGGGATCCCCCAGAAGGGATCACGGTGGGATCCCAATGTCATTGTGAGATTCCAATGTCACTGTGGGATCCCAATGCTGCTGTGGGATCCCCCAGGAGGTGCCAGCCCTGGGGACGGGCACAGAGAGGTGGCACTGAAGCAGTGACCAATGCCCCCTTCAGCAGCCACATTTTGGTGCCCTGCAGGCGATGTTTCATGGGTCAGGGGTGTCTGTTTGGAACTGGGGGGCTAAGGGGGCCATTCAACCCCTTCCTCTGCCTCCCTGCAGGGGGAAATGCCCGGGGGGCAGCCACTGGGAACCCTGGCTCTGAGACCTGGCGCACCACCCACCCCCAGCTCATCGCACTGATGGCAGCCAGATCCTGCAGCACCAGGATGGACCCAGCCCTGTGCTCCTCAAATTACCATGTGAGAAAACTCTCAGAAATGGAGGGGTGACGCATTAAAGCCCCAAAAGGAAGCTTCAGACAGGTAATGGAACAGGGATTTTGATGAAGGAAAATCCAAGGACCTGTGCGTGAACCTCGGGGTCCATGAGCAGGAGCCTGTGTGCACCAGGCACATCCTGACATTCTGGAGAGTTTGCCCACCCTGGCACTGAACTTAATTTACACTGGATTTAATGAACCCACCCCAAAAGAGAACATTAAACAGGTTTTGAACCCCACATTCAGCCCTGAAACCCAATGGGCACACGGGGTGGCAGAGGGCGGTGCAGGCAGAGACACACTCTGCTGTCCATCCAACTCCATCATCCACCCATCCACAATCCATCCAATGTCCATCCACCCATCCACAATCCATCCATCCCTGTCCATCCATCCCTGTCCATCCATCCGTCCATCATCCATCCATCCATCCATCCATCATCCATCCATCCATCCATCATCCATCCATCATCCATCATCCATCCATCCATCCATCCATCCATCATCCATCCATCATCCATCCATCCATCCATCCATCATCCATCCATTCTTCCATCCATCATCCATCCCTCACTTCCCAGAGGAGGCAGGCAAAGGCAAGCAGGTTATTTGCAATGCTGGGTGGTGATCTCTTTCCCTTTATTAATAATAATAACAACTAATAAAAATAATGAATAATGAATGAAAAGTGGGAGATTGGGCCAAGGGAATCATTTGTCAAACATCAACCAGCTGTTTTGGGGTAAAAGCAATGGAAACAAGGAGTAGAACCAGGCAGTGTCATGGTCCTGGCAGTGCAGGGGTTAAACCCTGATGGGGGAATTCTGGGTTTTGGGGTGTCCTCTAATGGGTGGCCCCAGGTGACACGGAGGGCCGTTTCCAATTTTATGTTTTGGGGTTGCCATCCCCCCTTTCCCCTTTCATAAATTTCCCCCTGTTCCATTTCCAGAGGGGCAGTCAGAGCTGGATAAGGGGGGCCAAGCTGGGCACCGATGAGGGGGCACCCCCAAGATCCCTGCAGCGGTGGCTCCTTCACCCATCCAGACAGGGCAGGGACAATCAGTGGCCTCTAGACCACCTGCGCCTTCGGGGCGTCACCAGGGACCGGCCTGAGCAGAGGAACCAGGGCTGAGCACTGGGAGTGAGCTGGGGCCGGGCTGGGGATGCCCAGCGTGGGGGGAGTGACCCCGCAGCCCCTGAGGGGCACTCACAGCCCAAGGGTGTGAACGCGTGTCCCTGGCGTGTCCCTGGCATGTGGGGTTTGCACACACGTGTGGGGCGGGGGCACACGCGGGGTGCCCGTGACGGGACAGGTCAGAGTAGGTGGCACCCCACATGGGCACGGGGGTGCCTGGGGACCCTCCACACACGCTCCACGCAGGTGGGGAGCCCCCTGCACACACGCTCTGCTCTCCCTGCACATCCCTCTCCCCCTTACACGACCCCCTCGCCCCCCCTCCCCCCTCCCGCTCCCGCCCCATAATCGGCTCCAGCTGCACAAACATTCCCGCACCCGGAGCCGCCGCCGCCTCCGGAGCCGCCCCCGCACCCGCCCGGACCCTCCCCCGAACCCCCTCTGGGCCCCCTGGCCAGCCCCTCCCCCGGAGCCCCCTGGGCCCCCGGCCGGACCCTTCCCCGGCCAGGGCAGCTGCGGAACCGCGTGGCCGAGGGGCAGCCCCGGGCAGAGCCCTGCAGGACAGGGCGGGGAGGGGTTCTGGGGGGCTGAGGGAGACTGTGTCCATCCATCCATGTCCACCCATCCATCCCATCTGTGTCCACCCATCCTGAGCCTACTCATTCCATTGGTGTCCATCCACTCCATGTCCATCCACTTCACATCCACCTTTGGATCCATTCCATCATCACACCCACATGTGCATCTATTCATGTCCATCTATATCCCTCCATCCCCTGTCCATTCACCCAACACTCTCTGGACAGGCCCTGGATGTTGGTGGAGTCCCACTCTCACCCATTCCAGCTTCTCCAGGCAGTGCACCAGAATGGAGATGGGAGCCCATGCCCACTCACCCTGTCCATCCACCCCAGGCTCTCCAGGAGTTCCCCAGGATAGAGATTGGGTCCATCCAGCCGTGTCCATCCATCCCCTACCCTGCAGGAGGGGGGCTGAGATGGAGTCAGGGCCCCACATCCCTGCGTCCAAGGGAGGGGAGGACACTGTGAATGACACAGCTCACCACACTCACTGACCCCAGGCTCTCCAGGACAATTCTGGGGTGTGGAGGCGGCCCCACATTCCCCACTCTCCCACCCCTCAGGTGTGTCCCTGTACAGAGCCAGGATCCCACACGGCTTGGGGACAGTGATGGATCCCACCCCCACCGCGCACAGCTGGCCAGGATGGCGGCACGGGGACAGGACTTTGTGCCTGCCTGGCAGACCCTCCCCGCCCGGGCCCCCCGAGCTGCCGGGTCCCGTCCCGCGGCTCCGTCTCCTTTAAGAGCGGCGCGGCCGGAGCCGAATTCAGCCGCCGGCCGCCTGTCCCCGCTGGCGTCCGGCCAGGGCTCGGCCTCGGCCGCGGCCAGATCCCGCTGCAGCGCCCGCCCGGCGGGGACAGCCGGCCGGGGGGGCCGGGGACACCCGGGGCCCCGCTGGCACCATTGGGTGCTGGTCCCTTGGGTCACTGCTGACTCTGTCCCCGTGCGGGTGAAGGCACACGGAGCCAGAAAGTGGGGACAGCCAGAGATGTCCGCACAAAATCTCAGGACCTGTCATGCCAAGAGATCATCACGTGTAGCAAAGAGATGTCCCTTGTCACCTCCCTCTGCCACCTCCATGTCACTGCTGGAGACCGGGACAAGGGGGGTGGTGGCAGGGGAGGGGACAGGGGAGATGGATCCCACTGCCCTGAGGGAATTGTGACCCGGGGCTGAAAAAGGGACAGTCTGGGGACAGGGGAACCTTGGGGGCCATGGGGACAGAACAGCCCCAGGAGACAGGACAGCCCCCATGCAGGACAGGGGACAGGAGAGCCTATGGACAAGGGGACAGGAGAGCCTGTGGCCAGGACAGCCCATGGTCCAGGGGACAGGACAGCCAGCAGCAGGGGACAGCAGTGACCACGGCCTGGATCCCAAGAGCACTGGGACAACCAGTGCTGGGGACACTGCATGACCCAGGGTCCTTCTCC